GCATGGAGTGCAGTGCAAAAACATATAATTGTTCCTTATGTCATGCCACAGTACATCACTGAGGTAGTGCCACAGCTGTCGACCCGTGCCATTACACAATGTACCACATGTGCCATATTGGTTGACTACCCTATGTCAAGACAGGAGTTTTTAAGTTATAAATGACTGGTAATAACTGAATTAACAATGTCAAAGGACGATCAACAGCAAGACTGTCATTGCACCACAATTGTTATATCAGGGTTAGCTATTAAATGCATACATAATCCTGAGCAAAAAAAACCATCTTGGTAGCCCAACCTTGCCATCTTTACCAAATCAATAGCAATACTTTAGCAATCATCCATAGCAACGTTATAATCTATTAATTTTCGCATGACACCGCATTTCCAGTTACAAATAATACAGAAAGTAACTACCGTGCACATCACATGGCATCAATGTCAGGACTACAGCACTGGAGGCAACGACGGGTCGACAATAAAGTATTGACAAATCTTCAACAGCATAGCCGCAACAGCAGCAGCACAGCACATCGTGCTTTGATTTTAATGATCTGCCATAAACGCTAGCGATCGTTACTTTGCATATGTCAAACAGTCCACCAAAGCTTTCCTTACAGCCAGCACCAAGACAAAAAATACACAAACAAACCACCAACTAATCCGCCAGCCGACACAGCCCCGCGACGAGAATGGCCGGTTGGCGTCAGCTTTCGTGTGTTTCGAAACATTCTTTAGGTCTGTCTGTCAGATGCTGCCAGGCTTTGCTGTCGTCACAAAACCATTCTATGACAGCATCAAACAATGACGTAATTGAGTGCATTCTTACAAGCTTTGAAATTTTGCTAGTTGGCGTCGTTTTTGAACCTTGAAAGCTTATCAATAGTTACAAGTAAGCTTTTCCTATCATACCTGATGCCCACCTCAATATCTTCAAATGTGGAACATTCCCGTTAATGTGCGTTCACGAAATGCTTACGGATGATGTTCTTAACGATGGCTTTTGATGCAGTGATATCAGTTATTCTTGGAAAATATGAGATCATAATATCGTTTAATAGCTTAGGGCCAAGGCAAGATGTAAATAGTATAAAATTACGATTAGAGAAAAGTCGGTCTAAATGCTTTTGTCGCCTTATATCCATTTTATTTGATTAGTAGAGCTTGTATGCCAAACCAAATTATGCAGTAAGCTTAGAGTTTAGAAATTTATGCATCGCAAGTGGCATTTGGGATTCAGCGATATCCGATAGTGTCAAAAATTTGTGTTGTTTCAAGATTGGCCCAGAGGTTTGTGGAGGATACACATTTTCTATCCGCCTCACAGCCTTTTCTTCAAAATTACTAACCGATCTAGTTGAAAAGCATAATTATTATCCCAAATCAAGCAGCAGCAATTGCAATAACGAAGAACTGAAGTGTTTTAGGGACATATGACGTTGTTTTATCAATGATGTAGATAATCTTGCTTATTTTTTCACATGTTTATTTGATAGGCTTGCAACAAAATCCTTGTGGCGCGTAAGTTTAAGATATTTTTCAATGAGCACACCATTGTATTTGTTTTTTTCCGTTCAGAAGGTAAATTGTTAAGTTGCACATTTAGCTCAAAACACGAAGAAAGTTTAGTGTGGTACTGTGTAAATGTTTTTGATACCTTTACGGAAAGGCAATGACATGTAAACAAAGTTTTGGTTCAGTGCGTGGAAATAATGAATTGAAAGTGAGAAAATTTCGAGATCATCTTCAAAACCATGTTGGAAAAAACAGCAAAGATGTAATAGGGATTTGAATCCACCCTACCCACCCGGCGTAAGATTTTAGTACCAATGTTTTGCCTACATTTAAGCAGTGCACACCACGGATAAGCGGTATCTATGAGACGCTTGCAGCTTGGAAAGCATGAATCACTATGTGTCCGTCATCCAAGTAGGAAAAACAACACTTCCTTAAATGGCCTTCCGACGCACTTAGCAGGTCGACGTCAAACTGTATGCTGAACGCCCTACTCAACTTTTAGATTTTGTGCGTAAAGGTCCCAGACTTAGTCTAAGGTAAGGGGCACATAACCAAGCGAACACGCATAAGTGTTTTCGGCATGTTTGCTCCGAACACAGTGATGTTAAGAATAAGTCCAACACCAAAAACATGAATCCCTAAATCCAGCGTCTAACATGGGAAACCTACCACACAATTTTATGCGCGTTTCAATCCAACCAATCCATTTGTATTCGCAACTGTTCCCGCGAGATGAAGTTTAGTCAACATCTCTGCCGCTCTGGAAGACAGCGCACAAAATATGCTCGCTCTATTCCTGGGCAACCTATTTTGTGACGTCATCACATGAAAATCGTACCGCCGACATGTGCCCATGTCCTCTTTCCATCCGGAGTATGGTGTTAGTATCAACGCTTTGCATACATTTAAGCAGTGCACACCAGGGATAAGCGGTATCTAAAACACCCTTGCAGCTTGGAAAGTAAATATCACCATGTACCGGTCATCATATAGTAAAAACAACTCTTCTTCACATGACCTTTGGGCCCACTCTGCGAGTCAGCGAGAGGTCGCATCCTGAATGTCTCCATCAACTTTAAGATTTTGCACGCAAATGTCCCATACTTAGTCCCAGATAAAGGAGCACGTAACCGACCGAACATGCAACAGTGTTTTCAGCGTGTCTTCTCCGAATATTGCAATGTTACGAATGAGTCGAACGCCAAAGGCACCACAAAATGTCTGAAGCGGGTATCTAACATGGGAAACCTACGACACGCCTCTTTCCTCGCTTCGACTCAACCAATCAATTTGTACCCACAACTGTCATCGTGAAAAAGGCTCAGTCAACATGTCTGCCGCTCTTGAAAATAACACAAAATATACTCCTGCGCAACCTTTTTGCGATGCAATTAGGCGAACAACAGACTGCCGATCTGTGTCCATGCACTCATGGCCGCCGTCATACCGGATCATATTCGGCAACCAACAAAGAAAACAACTTTTTGCAGGAATGAGGAAAGCGGCGAGCGCATCTTCTGATCCCCAGTCGTGTGAGCGTTGTTGACCTAAAATATAACGGCTTTTCCAGGAGATCGCGTAGCAGAAACACCAAGCGCGGTCCGCCGTTTGTGCAACACAGCAAACAACAAACAAGCAACAACAAAAAAACAGGAGCTCTCGCACATAGTAGTCCTCGCAAGCATAACCCCCTCCCATGCCAACTTGATGGCACGTACTTAGGTGCACGCGACCAGCTCTTGGCGGTGAAGAATGCCACTTAGACACACACACAGATGGAAAGATCGAGAACATGACATGCTGTTTCACGATACACGAGCAACTGAAACCCAAGAAACTGTTCTCGCCTGAGGCGGACATAACTTGGTCTTAATTGTTGAGTTGTGTCCACCCCCACCACACTGCCAGTTCTAATCCTGCGTTCGTCCTTGCTTGCTAATACATCCGGTTCGCGATAAAGGTGAGGGAAGGCGAAGCAAGCGAATCGCTCACATGTGAATCCTTCATGAAATGATGGCAAGCTGTTCAAACAGGTGAATGCCACCGTTTTACAGAGTGGTTTGTACAGCCTTAACACGCGCTTGAGTGGGAGGTCAAATTGACACCGACCTCAAAAGGGTTTGTGACCTTTTGCTTAGAAACAGTTGCCTAGGTTCTGGGGGCACTATAGAGACCAACCTGGAATTTTAATATTATTTCACCTTATTTGGCCTGAAGACCATTGTCTAGGAAGCTCAAACTTTGACCTAAGTGAGTTTACGTACAGTTTAAGATGGTGTTTCTAGCTCTTTTAGTTCCCGAGATCTCAGGGGGGCGTTCAAATTGACCCCCCCCCCCCCGAGCGAAGGGTGTCTAGCCGGCCACCCGGGCGCGTGTTAAGGTAGCGTGAACTGGTGGTGCTAGTCTAAAGTCCATGCCATTTCGATCTGTCTTCTAGACTTTAGGGTGTCTGGCTGGAATTTAGGTTTGCCACACAATCGTTAGCCGAGGCATGATCATGATCATAGAATGATGAACATAGCATGATAGAGCTCTTGTAACCTCCGCCGAGAGACATGAAATGAGGGCGAAACGAAGTATGTCATTTTTGGCCGGTTGTATTATGAACACTTTGGAAGCACACGTTTGCGGTGGACGTACATAAGGGTGGCCATTGTTTTGGCATGTTGTGACTTTTCCGGTGGGACCATGTCGAATGGTTCCATTTGGCGGAAAAACAGGTTGAGAAAAGTGTTGAGAAAAATAAAACATATTAAGGGTTCTCAAAACAACCAAATTTCATCAAAAGCATGGCCAACAGGCATTGAACATTTTGAGGTTTTAGTGCGATAACATGTGGCGGTGAATATTTGTTGGGTTGCCTGCTCAGTGATATTAATTACAGAAAAGGGCGCTTTTTTCTCCAACTTCTCAAAATATGTAACACAGCCAGCATGAGTGAGGCACTGATTCCGCGAAACCTTTAGTTTTGTCTTCGATTTGCCAGGATCGATGACGCAACCAGCATGAGCTCCACAAGGATTCCACGAAACCACTAGTGTTGCTTTCAATATGCTAAAATATGTGCTGCAGTGCAGCCAAGCACGTATTTAACACGGGTTACACAAAACAACTCGCTCTGCTTCCATCTGCCGGAATATGTGACACAGCCAAGCATTCATTCCACCCGAATTCCTCAAAAAGTGCGTTTTCCTTCAATTTGCTTAAGTCTACGACACAGCCAACAACAAATTTCATTGGGCCGCTCGGCCATGGCTCTCTCTGTCGGGAGGAAGCCCCTGTCTCCCTGACATGGGCTGACGTCACAGCGGCCCGCACCGCTCTGAACTGATGGGCGGGGTTGAAGGACACGCCCGTGGCCGCAGCCGAGAGAAGCGAGGCGCAGCCGGACCGCCGCCGGGCACGGCTCTACCTGGACCGCCTATATAACGCGTCCAGCTCCTCCAGCCAGCACAGTCAGTCCTCCTGCAGCGGGGAAGCATGAAGGTTCTGGTAAGTGAAGCCGCTAGAGTGTGCGTGTTCGGCAGCGGTGGGACCTTAGCATTTGTAGTTTTGATGCTTATGTGCAAGACTAGGTGTTCTATCGCGTCGCTGTGACCTGCTATAACGTGTTACTTGCCAGACGTATAGCGAATTATTTGGCATTTCCAACCAGCCGTATTCCGCTGGAAAACGATACATTTGTCGCAAAATATTGGTATATGTACACATTTCATGGAGTAGTGCCAGGAGTTTTATGTCTCGCCTATTACATGAGCGACAGCTGATTTGTTTAACCATGTGTCACGTTTCTGACAGCAAGTATGTTTTAAAATCCGCACGAGATCACTGAAATTTGTTTCATATATGCAACCCTTTCAGCACCAAACAGCATCGCTGTACTCAATGACAATCAAAATGAGTTGGATGGCACTCGTAAAAAGACTTACACTATCACAGTGAGAAGAACGCAAGGATAAAACAGAACTGAAAAGACCATTTTCTATAATTTCATGATACCGCACAAGATATTCAAGCAATTTAAAAAATTTAGGAGAATTGGCAACTCCTAGCTTAAGGCTAGTACTCGAATTGCAAGGGATTGCAAAAATTGCGGGTACATGGACTCAAATCAAAGATAGCAATCAACTTGCGGATACATGACGCCAGCATGCATACGATAAAATTGAAAAACAGATGCCACAATCCTGAAGTATGGTATCCCAAAATTTCACCTAAGTGAACATCATCGCCTTGCTTTCAAGACATAGGTCCAAAACTCCCCATCCATAAATCCAAAAGCATAGCTTCACCAATGCCTTATGCCCTGTATGCTGGTTCCAGTTAGTTCGCGGTCGTTTGGAGAAGGATCTGTTTGCTTCAATGCAATACGATCAAGTATTGCTCAATCATAAGCAAATTCGCACTATTGAGCCCAACTGTCTGTGTTCCCGCAGGTCGCACTGTCCGCTGTGCTGGCGCTGGGCGCTGCCCAGTACTCGCCGGTTGGGTACCCATACTACGGGTACAGCCCGGTGAGCTACTACGCCGGCGGCGCGTACAACCATTACGCCCCGACGGTGTACAGCGCGGCGCCAGCCGCTACCGTCAGCTCGCAGTACCACGCTCAGGATGAGCTGGGCCAGTTCAACTATGGCTACGCCGGAGGCCCGTCTGCCAAGAACGAGTTCAGGAGGTTCGATGGCGCCACCGTTGGCAGCTACAGCTACATAGACGCCAACGGCAAGGTGCAGACCGTCTCCTACACGGCCGACGATGTCAACGGCTTCCAGGTGAAGGCGACCAACCTTCCTGTGGCCCCGGAGGCGAACCTGCAGGCGCCCGTGTTCAACCTGGAGGCGCCCGTGTTCGACGGCGTGGCTCCCGAGCCGGTGCAGGACACGGCCGAGGTGGCCGCCGCCAAGGCCGAGTTCCGCAAGAAGTACGCCGAGGCGGCGGCCGCTGCCGCCGCTGCGCCCGACACCGACGCCCCGGAGGCTGCCGAGGAGGAGGCGGCCGTCGCCCCTGCCGAGCGTCGCCGTCGCAGCGCCGTGCTTCTGCCCGCCCTGGCCAAGGCCACCTTCAAGACGGTCAGTCTGGATAAGGTGGAGGCCGACACCCCGGCCGACACCAGCCTGCTCAAGGTGACCGAAAAGGAGCACGAGACGTACGTGCCCAGCGTGGTCTCTTACGCCGCCCCCGCCGTCCACTACACGGCCCCCGTGGTCTCCTACGCTGTCCCCGAGGTGAAGAAGGTTGAGGTCAAGCATGTGGCCTCTCCCATCACGTACGCTGCCTCTCCTCTTCCCCTGGCTTATGGCCTGCACCCGTACGGCTACGGTGCCCCTCTCATCTACAACGTGGAGGCCAAGGAGGAGACTGCCGCTGTCGAGGAGACTGCCGAGGAGAAGCCGGCCGTCGTCGCCGCCGAGCGTCGCCGTCGCAGCGCCGTGCTTCTGCCCGCCGTGGCCAAGGCCACCTTCAAGACGGCCACTCTGGATAAGGTGGAGGCCGACACCCCGGCCGACACCAGCCTGCTCAAGGTGACCGAGAAGGAGCACGACGCGTATGTGCCCAGCGTGGTTCCTTACGCCGCCCCTGCCGTCCACTACACCGCCCCCGTGGTCTCCTACGCTGTCCCCGAGGTGAAGAAGGTTGAGGTCAAGGCAGCCCCCATCACCTACGCTGCTAACGCCTTCGCCTACGCCGCTCCTGCTATCACCTACACCACCCCCGTGGTCAAGAAGGTTGAGGTCAAGCACGTGGCCTCTCCCATCACGTACGCTGCCTCTCCTCTTCCCCTGGCCTATGGCCTGCACCCGTACGGCTACGGTGCCCCTCTCATCTACAACGTGGAAGCCAAGGAGGAGACTGCCGCTGTCGAGGAGACTGCCGAGGAGGAGCCGGCCGTCGTCGCCGCCGAGCGTCGCCGTCGCAGCGCCGTGCTTCTGCCCGCCCTGGCCAAGGCCACCTTCAAGACGGCCACTCTGGATAAGGTGGAGGCCGACACCCCGGCCGACACCACCCTTCTCGAGGTCACCGAGAAGGAGCACGAGACGTACGTGCCCAGCGTGGTCTCTTACGTCGCCCCCGCTGTCCACTACACCGCCCCCGTCGTTCGCTACGCCGTCCCGGAGGTGAAGAAGGTCGGGGTCAAGACGGCCCCCATCACCTACGCTGCCTCTCCCCTTCCCCTGACCTATGGTCTCCACCCGTACAGCTTCGGCACTCCTCTGATCTACAACGTGGAGGCCAAGGCTGCTGAAGTCGAGGAGAAGGCTGAATAAACAGTTTTTCCATCTAAACATTGAACGGCAGACAGCTGCGTTCGTTACATGTCTTGTCCTGTCTTCCGTGCTGCAGCGTCCGTTGTTCCAGTTGTTGACATGTGTCCATGTGTGATATGCTTTGGCCATTACACGTTGCGAATGTACCATTCGTCATTTTTCCAGTAACTGGGAATACAAGGTTCACGTCCTATGTACTCCATTGTTTTATCTCGCTGCAGAGCTTGCGCGAAGGCGACGGTAGTTTTGATAGCGGATGTAAAAAGAAAAAGGTCATCATGTAGTAATAAGAAAAACCTTTGCTGATGAACTCACATCCTCAACGTCGAAGGTCAAACTATGCATGAGGTGTCAATGCCAGACCCATATAATAAGATGCAAACCGTCTGTGCCCGGACAATTCTTAATTGTGTTATTTTCTGTAATGAACTGCATTTAAATATGAGAAGTTAGGAGGAACAGTCGGATTTCTAACAAAAGGAGACCACATGAACTCACAAGCCTTGACCTGCGTTTCTTGTAGTCCCGCTAAGCGCGCTGTTCAATTGGCAATTGCAATACTTTAAAACCGGAGCAGGTTAAATCGAATACCTGGTTGGCACGCAATATGTAAGGAACTCACATACAATTTTCCCAGGTAGCACGCGAAGATCACTTGGGCGATCGCTGCTTACTCCCAATACCCATGGCTGCATTTCATTGCTGTTTGAATATGGGGCCATTTTGTTTCCCGCGTGAGATCTCTTAGGCTGTCATAAGTTTCCGAAGCTGTGAGTGCGTCCATCACCCTTCAGAAGTCTTACCCGACCCAGGTGGGCGTGGTTTTACCTGGCTTTTTTAGCATTTAGAGCGAACGCAAAACGAGAACTGCCCAAGGCAGGGCTAATTGGGCTCTTCATGAAGCACAATACAATTATTTTCTTTGTAGGCATAGCTTCACTTAAGACTAGGTCTTAATACATGATTTAGGTGTTTTAGTGTGGTCATGAATTCATAGCTGCACAAGGGTGGATTTGGGAAAAATTTAGAAGGAACATAGCTCTTGCCATGCTGCCCAGGACACGTCGACCAGTGTCTTACAGCCTCATGTCTTGCATTCTGACGCATCTTGGTTGCAAGAATAATCACAAGCGGTAACCACGCCAGTGATATTATTAGTTGTATAATGGTGACTTAGTGTTAGAAAACGTGCCGTGAACAAGCTTTTCAAAACTTGATGACACAATAAAAAACAGTAAAAGTTGAGAACGAGAAACGCAAAAAACTAGAGTTGAAAAAGGATTACGTGAATGGGCAATTTGCCACGCGAAATTAATATTCTTTGTGGCATACAGACACCTTTTCTTCAAGTGCTGCTTCAAGAACACAAAAGTGGTGTTCGTCAGGGAACTGTGATGCCAAAGCGTTGTCAAAATAAAAGTCAACATTTCGTTACATCACCTGGTCTCCTCGGCTCCTCGCCGGCGCAAGTCAACACGCGGTGTGCCGGGAAAGGACATGATGTCGTTTCTGGGCTTTGCAAAAAGTCGGGTTTTCATCCGCTCTGTACGGGGTGACGTCACTGGTGCCGAGACTTCAATGTGGCGTGGCCGCTAGCTATGGGGCTGCCGTAATGCTGCGGGACAGCCGGAGCATCGGACATTCTCGTACAGATCATGGTCAAATTGTTAGTGGAAGTTGCATTTGACCAGCGTGGATATTACAAAGAATCTAATGGCGTGTATAATGGAGTAATTTCCAATCCTATGCCGCAAGCCGTTATATTTCCATGACGCGAGAAGTGGGAGCGTTCACACGAGATTTATTCGAGAAAGGACGGCCAGAACATCGGGTTCTCTTGGCATCGATAATAAACAAAATGCTTCCGGCAGGTGCATGTTAACAGGAGGCTGACCACGTAAACGTTTACGTCGGGTGTAATAATATGCTTGTCATGCTTATGCGCCCAACATTACGTAACATTTGTGATTAGCCAAGTGGAAAAGGGCCTATTACCGAGATGCGCATTGGTTGAAGTTTGGACCAGTGTGCTGCATGGATCACGTGATACCCCCATTTCAGAAGATAAAGTACATTTTAAAAAGAGCGAGTGCGGTGAATGCCATGGGGTAGACATGAAGGCTACAATATAAGGTTTCGTTGACAAGCATTACAAACAGTTCATAATCTTCGTTGCAAACATTTCGTTTGTGGCCTAGGGTAGTAGAATCTTTAGCCTAACAAATGCTTCCGTTGCCAGTCCCACAAAGAGAACTGGCACGAGTGTGGTCATTACTAGTTCAACTATCAAAGAAACAGGCAGATATCCGCTACAGTACCTTGTTATTAGTGACAAGTAAATAGTTTCTGGTAGGTGCACATATCCGCGAACCAATCGGGCCGAATTCAATAGCATGCATGATTATGTTCTTTGCAAGCTAATATTCAGCAAAGCCATTGAAATCTAATCGGCATGGAATGTGGATACGAGTATTCAAGACGCGGGTACTAGGGAGGGGATGGCCCCTTGAACTTTTATACCATTTCCCAAAAGTATCTTAGGCGCAGACTGGAAGAAGGAAGCAAATTGGCTTTTCTTTGCTACGGTGACATTAAGTCATAGCCTGGGCTTGGGGAACTTACTTCTGGCTTAAGGCCAGGCAAAAAGCTACGTTAAGCCGGCTCGTGCTATCCGGCGCAAAGCAAGGGACAGGGGTGAGCTACGCTGCGTTCAACCGGCTGATGCTGTCCGGTATCAATGCAAGGAAACGAGCTCGATGCTACATTAAACCGTCTTATTTCGTCCGGTAGAAAATGGAAAGTAAAACACGAGACACACACACATTCATTGTATTCAACAATCACAATACGTTTGGATGGCGGACGACCACCTCATCGCAGCAAAGGTTTCCCCGCACGGCAAACGGCGGGCTCCCGGCTCGGCGGTCAAGTCCCTCAGTGAACTGAACCGGGTCGCTTCCCCACACTGAATGGGGGGAGCGGCCCGGTGCGACCTTGTCGTGTTGTGTAGTATATTGTATAGTTGTGTGCAAGCCGAATGGCGGCCCACACATGCCCCGCACTTGGGGTGACGCGCGCGGCAGGTGCGCGCGCTGTGGCCGAAGGCCTGGCAGTGCGCGCACTGCTGCGGGGCGGTAATGCAGTGGCGCGGGGGCACCCGCATGCGTCCGCAGAGGAGGCGCGGCGGAAGGGCCGTGCCCCGGAGAAGCAATCGGAGCAGGGGTTGGGCCCCAGCTCCGGACGGCGCGACGGCGGGCGCACGACCTCCGTTACGCCCTGAGCTAGACACTCGCCGAGAATGTTCTCCTCGGACATCTCGGCAAGGGCCGGGACGTATACGACCGCCTGAACACTGTTCAGGCGGTCTGCCATCACAACTACGACGTCTCGCACCAGGAAGCGGTTCAGCCTTAGAAGCACGAACGCCTGATGAGCGCCGTTGACTTTTATCAATAGAGCCGCCGGGTGAAGGGGTTTGGCCCCCTCCACCTCTCCAACGTTGTGCTCTATTTAGCGGGGCGGATCGCAAACGGGTTAGGCGTGGCAAAATTTGCTCCGTCTCTATTTTATGAGGACAAACGATGGCCCGTCCGGCATTTCGGGCGACGGGGGAGCGCAGGCCCCTCGGCGAGGGGTGGGTCCCGGATCGCGGCGAGATGGGGATGGGGACTCGGGCGGCATGCTTGGTGTTTGGTGTTTTTGATGCTTGCGTTTTTGCTAGAAGTGAGTGCTTAAGGAGATAAACTGTGGCTTGAGGCTGACAGAGTGTAGGCTTAAGATCTGGCAGTGTTGCTGAAGACTGTGGGTGTACCTTACGTATTCGGAGAGACGGCGACACGAAACAGAAAAAATCAATCGACCGTTACTCAACCCTTAACAAGAGCACAAACCTTCAAACTTTTACTAGAACACCTTCCACAAGAAACCAAACTCAACCGACGTCAATCTCTTAGCGGAACCAAAGGCGTAACCCCCGTGTTAGACGCTAGACGTTAGAGACAAGTTGCCTTTCGCCCCCCACCTGCCCACCGACTTAAGAGAACTATCGCTGCCTCTGCGCATGTGCAGGAGGCTTGTAGCATTTTACACTGAGAGCTGATGGCTATTTTTGTGAGGTAAGGTGGCACAGAAGTACGGAGAGCTGTATCAAACAACGAATGAAGGCCATCATGTGTTACAAGCCGCATCGATACATTTAACATGTGCAGTCAACGTTGTTCGGGCTTAAAAGGGTATCACGTACCTGTTGTGCTCAAGCACACTTGTTTGCCCACTATATGTGATTGTGCGGGTGATGTCTAAAGAAGAAAAAATATATCCAGCTTATGCTGAGTAGTTAATAGACAGAGGCTGAAAGCTTGCCCATGTTTAGCGGAATATGCGATCTGTGGGATGCTAATGATCATTCTTTACATCATAATGCTGTTAGCAATATCGTGAAACATCCTACTTTTGAAATATGCTCACTAATGCATTGTAACACGCAAAAAAGGGAAATACTAGCATTTGCAATGATTGTTATAATCCTGGCATATCAAAAGTATATAAACATATACGCATATATTAAGTACATGAGGTATATGCACACAATTAAGTAAATCGAACTAAAAAAGTGAGTTTCAACTAAATTTCGCCATTGATCCTCGCCCGATATCCAGTGCGACACCTATCTACGGTTTTTTTGGAGACACTCTCGGGCATATCGTGCATTTGTGACCAGTCTTTTTGGAGCTTTTGGGACGTTTATTGCACGTGTTTTGACGCAAAAAACATGTCCCCATCTACTTTCTAGTTGTTAAGGAGCGGCTGTTTTTGGGAAACACTTTATGACGATCTGCAACCGGTGCAGGCCGCATGCGGTAGCCGAAGAATTACAACATATTACCATTATACCAATTTGCTCAGAAGGGAGCCAGAAACACGCCTGTTTAGGTTCCGTGTCCCTACGAGGTATGTTCTTGTACATATGAGCACGCAAAGCTGAAAAAGCTTAATTTATTAAAGCATTTGACATCGGACCTGGTATAATCGGGTCAGTCATTGACTTAACCACATCAAGCTTATTACAATCGCGAGATGTCGTTGACGCAAATTCACTGGTGAGTTTTGCTAGCCTCTATCTTTTTTAGTTTAGAACGACAGAGGAACCGCGTGCCCCTAGTCCATCTCTCCTGTTAGTCCACGAATGAGACGGCGTATCAAAAAGGTCAAATTACTAAGCTGCATTCTGTTAGTAGTTTAAGCGACTCCACTGATTCTTTAGTTTGTGAACAATTCGAATTGCAAAATATAAAGGTTCAGTTCTACATTTCAACATATGGAACCACGGCTAAGACATAACGGAAACACGTCACTTGTAACCGTTGGTATGCTGTTTAACCTAACTAACAAAGTTGCACTGGCTTGTAAATGAGCTCTTCATTACGTCATCGTTTGGATACGTCATGGAACATTTCTTTTTGATGTGAGAGTCGCTGCCAGTATGACCGTATCATAGTTGTCAGTGTTGCGGACGGTAAGGCCCACTTCTCGTACTTTCTTGCGCCGCAAGGTGGTGTTGGCTGTCCATGCGTGTAAATACATACTATGAGCGTGATGTGTATGCGCTTTGGCCTCTTCTCGTGGTGCACGCTACGTTTTAGTGATGGTATAGTATTTCCAAGCATTTACGTTTTTTCCTACAACGTCTCTTTAACATTACTCGATTCTCGACCTGATATCCACCGTCACTAATCGTTACCTACTTGTAGTTCACTTTTACAGCCTTGCAACATTGAAAAGACGAGACAATACCCCCTGGCAATACAAAATCTGAAGAGGCATGTTTCTCGCTCGCTTCTGACTACAACAGGCTGTTTTTGTATGTTTTTTGAGCATATCTCTATGATATATGGCACCGTTACAACGCGCTCACGTGGGTCAAACTGACCTCCACTGAGAGTTTTCCCGGAGTGGTTTCCGAACAGCCTCGGCCAGCCCCGCCAACTTTTACATAGTCATAAACATTTACATAGCGGATCGTTTGGTATCAAAACTTCAGATGTACCTTGTAAGGTCGCTGACCTATGGCAAGTCAAAGTCAGACCGTGGATTCAGCGAAGTCAATTTCTACAGAATCGTTCAGCCTGATGGAACAACGGAGCGTTAGACGAAGTCATATATCTTTGAGATACTTCCTTAGGCAGCACAACAATTGAATAACCAAAGCCCATTGACCTAGGGTCCGATGGAAGGTCAGATCAAGGTCAAAATCAACCTGTTTATTCTGTAGGGCTTGCTGTGTGGAGTATCTTCTGGTACAAAGTTCGAATTTATTGATAACAGCAACCGCATTAGACATCTTCCATCGATTTCTTATAGGTCAGTATGGGTCACTGACCTTAAATGACCCTGGTAAACGTTTGGTTCTTAGGAACACACTGCCTAGCATCACCTTTGTCCTTTATTCAAGAGCAAAACTCAAAGCAGTCTTCTGTGGTTTTGTTCACTATGACGCTCAAAAGGTGAATGAGCATGTTAATTTTTGCCTCAAACGAGTGTCTAGGTTCTGGGGACACTTTGGACACCAACGTGGAGTTTGACCTTTTTTGACCTCACTCGATCGGAAGGTCATGATCTAGCAACCTCAAACTGTAAGCTAAGTGAGTTCGCGTACAGGCCAACACCTCTGCGAATTTTGTATCTCTGGCTTCCCTGGTTCCTAAGATCTCAGGAGGGTCAAATTCACCCCACATCCGAGTGAAGGGTATCCAACCAGCCACGTGAGTGCGCATCAATGTAGCAATAGCCCCTTTTCCATAGGGAATTTAAGATGTTGCCAGATGAGCATCAAAGTTGGCCAGCTGCAGGTCCTTTTGGTCTGCGTGCATCCGCGGTGCGGGTAACGTGGTGCTCTTAAGGCAAACTGAGCAGCATTTTTTCATCTCATTTTGGCACAATTTTGACATCTTGACACCATTTTGGCACAAAGGTTGACAATTTCTAACAATTGCACCAGAAAATAACCGAGATCGCCATCATTGGATTGCTTTTCTTCCAACCTGGCATGTATTTATTTTCCTACGCAAACAGGGCAAATGTCGGCCAACCGCGCATTTCGCTGTATCGTTTGTTACCGCACGCCGCCCACGTCGGCCGTAGATCGCTGCTCTTCCTTAGGAAATCGCCGCCGCCCGAAATGAAATAATATCCGTACACGTCTTTGGTGTGAAAACCTGCGCAATGGACACACCATATTCTCCTGGAACTTAAGCCACGATTGAAAAATATGATGGAGAGCTATCATCAAAAGACATTAGGGGGTTGCATTAGCCCCTCATCGGTCAGAGCGAGCTTAAAACGATTTCAGCGTTGCGTATTATCATCTTCTGTCCAAAGCCTAAACCCATGTCTTTTATGTGTATTTTCCGCGGAAGTTAATGCATCTAATTGTGCGATGCATGAATTTATCAATTCGAAGTCAAAAGGTAGCAGGCTTCTAATTACCATCATCCAACAAATGTGTTGAGGAGCATGAGACGGTCGTTGGCACAAAGGTAAAAGGATGCACTCGCATATTTATAGGGTTTTAAGCTGCGATAGCCGTTTTGATGGTTTGAAGATCGTTCAGTACAGTTTACAGTCACGCCTTTCTAACACACGCTCGCGTCGCGAGTCAAACTGCCCCCCCCCCCTCCCCGAAGGTATTTCCCGAATGGTTTCCAAACTCAGCGGCGTAGCCCTGCCAAAATTTGCATGGCTGTAGAAAATTGAATAGCAGAACGTTTGACATAAACAATTTAGATGCACCTTCAAAGGTCACTGACTTACAGTAGGTCAAAGTCAGGCTATGGCTTCAGCGAGGACAATTTCTAGGGAATCGTCTAATCTGGTACAATAACGGAGTGTTTGACGAAACCATACATCTCTGAGATGCCTTCTTAGGTGCCTTCTATAAATATGATATGAGCAAATTACGTTGACCTTAAGTCAGGTATGAAGGTCAGACCAAGGTCACAACCAACCTGATTTGTTACTTTGGGGCTTGCTGTATGGGATAGTTTCTAGTGCTCATTTCGAATTTATTGACAGCAGGAATCGCATTATGCATCTCCCATTGACTTCTTAGAGGTCATAAAAAGTCATCGACCTAAGATGACCCGGTTCGACGTTTTTTTTTAGGAACATACTGCCTGGCGTAATCTTTGTCACTTATTCAAATACAAAACTCATGACGTGACGAGTCATGACGATATTAGGAGTGGAAATAGAATAACCTAAGAATAGTAGCACAACCGAGTATATGAATGCAGATCAATCCTAAATCTAAGGGACCACTGGACAAGAAAAACGAGAAAAGGCCAAAAACGAGCAGAAAAGATTGACACGACCAGTCTGATCCTACTCCATAAAGACCCTTCATGGCGTAACGAAAAGATAAGGTGTTCAGAAACATGTTTACTAAATAGTGAGGTTGTGTTGTTTAGTGCAGTTTTTTTTAGTTTAAAACAAACAAATGCTCGCATCAACATATTTCGTCAAAACTGATGTTTGCTTCGTTGTCTTAAAATGTAGATCGTTCCCTTTAAGATCTCAAGGAAACAATGTCAATCCAACCAGGCTGGTCCTTACGTCCAGTTAGTCTGATGTAGTTAAATTTGTCATGGAGTCTTTTAGGCGCGATCTTATGATTCGAAGGAAAACAAGGACGTGACATGGACGTCATGATCTGCATCCACGTCTGCAGGCTGCTGACATCACAGCGGACCGCCCCGTTCTGAACTGATGGGCGTGGATGAAGGACACGCCCATGGCCGCAGACGAGACGACCGGTGCACAGTCGGTCCGCCGCCGGGCACGGCTCCGCCCTGTACCGCCTATATAACACGTGCGGCATATTCAGCGAGCACAGTCAGGCCTCCTGCGGCGGGAAACATGAAGGCTCTGGTGAGTGAAGCCGCTACACGCTGACGGTGTAACAGCTGATAGGGCACTCGTCCTCGGTAGCCTCTTGTCTACATGTAAAATCATGTGGCTTAGCATGCTGATGTGATCTGTGGTATTGTGAAGGTTTTGGCAAAAAATTATGTGACGCATTGAAACAAAGACGTAAATATGTCTGGCCTACTAAGAAATGCGCGTTTCTATGAGATGACGTTGCGTTGATACTTCCCGCTTCACCTTCATTCTCTGACATTTCTTTAATGTGATCCGTTAGCTTTTTTGAGTTCGGTTGGCTCTCCGGTATCGTTTCAACACTAGGTAATTAGCAAAAAAGGAGGATTCTGAGGCCTCCGTAAACACACAAAAGGCGCTGCTCATTTCGGTGCAATGCGATCAAGTGTTACTCGAAAATCAGCAAGCGCCCACTGTTGAACCCAACTGTCGTCGTTCCCCCAGGTCGCACTGTCCGCTGTCTTGGCGCTAGGCGCTGCCCAGTACTCGCCGGTTGGGTACCCGTACTCCGGGTACAGCCCGGTGAGCTACTACGCCGCCGGCGCGTACAACCACTACGCCCCGACGGCGTACAGCGTGGCGCCAGCCGCTGCCGTCAGCTCGCAGTACCACGCTCAGGATGAGCTGGGCCAGTTCAACTATGGCTACGCCGGAGGCCCGTCTGCCAAGAACGAGTTCAGGAGGTTCGATGGCGCCACCGTTGGCAGCTACAGCTACATAGACGCCAACGGCAAGGTGCAGACCGTCTCCTACACGGCCGACGATGTCGGCGGCTTCCAGGTGAAGGCGACCAACCTTCCTGTGGCCCCGGAGGCGAACCTGCAGGCGCCCGAGTTCAACCTGGAGGCGCCCGTGTTCGACGGCGTGGCTCCCGAGCCGGTGCAGGACACGGCCGAGGTGGCCGCCGCCAAGGCCGAGTTCCGCGAGAAGTACGCCGAGGCGGCGGCCGCTGCCGCCGCTGCGCCCGACACCGACGCCCCGGAGGCTGCCGAGGAGGAGCCGGCCGTCGCCCCTGCCGAGCGTCGCCGTCGCAGCGCCGTGCTTCTGCCCGCCCTGGCCAAGGCCACCTTCAAGACGGCAACTCTGGATAAGGTGGAGGCCGACACCCCGGCCGACACCAGCCTGCTCAAGGTGACCGAGAAGGAGCACGAGACGTACGTGCCCAGCGTGGTTCCTTACGCCGCCCCCGCCGTCCACTACACGGCCCCCGTGGTCTCCTACGCTGTCCCCGAGGTGAAGAAGGTTGAGGTCAAGCATGTGGCCTCTCCCATCACGTACGCTGCCTCACCTCTTCCCCTGGCCTATGGCCTGCACCCGTACGGCTACGGTGCCCCTCTCATCTACAACGTGGAGGCCAAGGAGGAGAACGCCGCTGTCGAGGAGGCTGCCGAGGAGGAGCCGGCCGTCGTCGCCGCCGAGCGTCGCCGTCGCAGCGCCGTGCTTCTGCCCGCCCTGGCCAAAGGCCACCTTCAAGACGGCCACTCTGGATAAGGTGGAGGCCGACACCCCGGCCGACACCACCCTTCTCGAGGTCACCGAGAAGGAGCACGAGACGTACGTGCCCAGCGTGGTCTCTTACGCCGCCCACGCTGTCCACTACACCGCCCCAGTCGTTCGCTACGCCGTCCCGGAGGTGAAGAAGGTCGAGGTCAAGGCGGCCCCCATCACCTACGCTGCCTCTCCCCTTCCCCTGACCTATGGTCTCCACCCGTACAGCTTCGGCACTCCTCTGATCTACAACGTGGAGGCCAAGGCAGCTGAAGTCGACGAGAAGGCTGAATAAACAGTTTTTATCCTCTAAACGTTGAACGGCAGACAGCTGGGTTCGTTTCATCTCTTGTCCTGTCTTCCGTGCTGCAGCGTCCGTTGTTCCAGTTGTTGACACGTGTCCATGTGTGACATGCCTTGCCCATTACACGCTGTGAATGTGTCATTCGTCATTTTCCAATAACTGGAAATACAAGGTTCACGTCCTATGTACCCCGGTGTTTCATCACGCTGGAGAGCTTGTGCGAAGGCGGCGATAGTTTTGATAGCAGATGTCAATAAATCAAACAATGCCATCAGCCCAGGATTGCATGCCAGCATAATGTTTCATGATAACGTGAATATAGCCAAATCTGGATTGAGTCTTGCTGGAGCACTTGATGGTCGCATGCAACTTTGCTTTTTATGTTACATGTGATTTGGGAGCATTCGAACGTCAGAACCCCTATTAGCTTCCTGCGTTGATAGTTTTAAGAGGCGTTTTTGTGAGCTTGCGCTCTGAGCGGTAAGGTGTGTCCTATTCTAGGACGCAAGGATTGACCCACGACAGGTGTATTCACACCAGGTAATGAACTGCGTTAAAATATGAGACGTTCGGGGGAACATCCGAATTTCTAACAGAAGGAGACCACATGAACTCACAAGCCATGACCTGCTTTTCCTAGAGTCTCGCTACGCGTGCTATTGAATTAACAATTGTAATATTTTCAAACTGAATCAAGTTAAATCGAATTCGTAAAAGGCACATGACACATAAGGAACCCGCATAGATTTTTTACAAGTAGCACACGAAGATGAATTGGGCGATCGCTGCTTACTCCCAATACCCATGGCTGCAATTCTTGCTTTTTGACCACGTGGCCATTTTGGTTCTGCCTGAGATCTCTTAGGCGGTCATAAATTTCAAAAGCTGTGAGTGCGTCTATCACCCTTCATAACTTTTGCCCGTCCCATGCGGGCGCGGTTTTAGCTGACTTTTTGAGCAGTGAGAGCAAACGCAAAACCAGACTGGTCAGAGCAGGGTTAATTGCACTCTTGTCAAAGTACCATATAATTATTTTCTTCGTAGGCATAGCTACACTTTAGATAGGGCGTAAGACATGATTTAGGTGTTTTAGTGTGGTCATGAAATTATTGCTGCACAAGGATGAACTTGGAAAAATTTAGAAGAAACACCGCTGATGCCATGCGGCCTAGGACGCGTCGACCGTCCGCACCCTGGTTGCAGGTGCGGACGGACGCGTCGCACCTTGGTTGCAAGGATAATCACAAGCGGTAACCACGCCAGTGATGTTCTTAGTTGTATCATGGTCGTTTAGTGCTAGAAAATAAGATGTAAATAAACTTTTCAAGAGGCAATGGAAAACAAAAATAAATCCAGTGAAAATAGAAAACGAGAAACGCATAAAGCTAGAGTTGAAAAAGGAGTACGTAAATGAGTAATTTGCCACGCGATATTAATATCATTCTTTGTGGCATGTAGACGCTTTTTCGAGTATTTTTTTTCAAAAACAGAAAAGGGGTGTTCGTTAGGGAACTGTGCTGCCAAAGCGTTGTCAAAAGTCAATATTTCGTTACATCACCTGATCTCCTCGGCTGCTCGCCGGCGCAAATGAACACGTGATCTCTGTCGGGAAAGGACAGGACGTCGTTTCTGGGCTTTGCAAAATGTCGGGTTTTCATCTGCTCTGTACAGTTTAGTGACGTCACTGGTGCCGATACGTCAATGTGGCGCGGCCGCTAGCCGTGGGGCGTAATGCTGCCGGACAGCCGGAGCATCGGAAATTCTCGCACAGAGCATGACCAAATTGCTAGTGGAAGTTGCATATGACCAGCGTGGATATTACAAAGAATCCAGTGGCATGTATGATGGAGTGATTTGCAGTCCTATGCCGCAATCCATTACATTTCAGTGACACAAGAAGTGAGAACGCTCACACGAGATTTATTCGAAAAAGGACAGCCAGAACATCGGGCTCTCTTGGCACCGGTACTAAGCGAATTGTTAGCGTCAGGTGCATTTTAGCAGGCAGGCAATCACGTCAACGTCAACGTCAAATATGGTAACATGCTTGTCAAACTTAGGCGACAAGCAATGACAGAACGTTTGTGATTGGCCCAGCGAGAAAGGGCCTATTACCGAGAAGCGTGTTGGTTGAAGTTTGAACCAGCGCACTGCATGGATCAAGTGATGTTCCCATTCCCAGACAAAGTTCGCCCCAAAAGAGCCCCGCGTTAAACGCCATCGTCTAGAAATCAAAGCCACAGTATAACGTACTGCTGACAGACCTCACAGACATTTCGTTTTTTTTTAGAAAGACCTCTGTTTGCAAACATTACAGCAAACATGCGTTGCTGAATGCGAGGCAAATTAAATGTATTGCTTTCATAGTGGTTAGCAAGGAGTCAAATGATATTCCTTCCGCAGGGTCGGCCATTTGAAAGCAAAACTCTGAGCTGGTCAGGAGGATTTCAGAAAAGCTGTCATTATGAAAAATCAAATTATTTGGCCCCAGGTTGATACCATTTTGGGAGGCTTTACCGATTCGTTTATTTGCAAGGATTTCAATTTGTACAGTATAGAGTTTTAGTTCCACATTTCAAGATATTGAGGCAAGCATCATATCTGTCGGAAATAGCTTTCTGATAACTACTGGTATGCTCTTTGGTATAAATCAAAAGGCTCTACTTGGTATTAAGTGTACTCTCCATTACGTCATCGTTTGGTTACGTCATTGAACGTTTTTGTGATGTCAGAGTCGCTACCAGAGTGGCATAGTTGTCATTGTTCCGCCGGTAAGGCTCACTTATAGTACTTCCGCGCGCCACAAGGTGGTGCAAGCTGCCTATGCGTTAAAAAATATGCCATGAACGTCATGTGCATGCGTGTTGCTCCTGGTGTTCGATACGTTTTGGTAATTGCATGATAATTCCAAACATTTGGAATTTTGGTTATTACGTTTCTATTAAATTAGTCAATTCACAACCCGAAATCCACCATAAGTAGTGGTTCACTTTTCTTGTTTAAGTTTACAGCATTACAACATAAAACATAAGAGACTCTGCGTCACAGCAATGCAAAATCCGCACAGGCATGTTTTTCTTCAGTTCTGATTACAGTGGTTTATATTTGTATGTGTTTTGAGAATACAACCATGACATATGGTTGTTAATATAACAATGGCGGTCCAACACGCGCGCTCGGCGGCATCGTCGGTAACCGCCGGCCGTCCGCGCCGGCTGTAGATCCCCGTTGTTCTAAAAAAACTGACGCTGCTCCGAAATGACAAAGCTAGATATACGTGTATGATGTGAAAATATGTGCAATGGACGTCCCATGTGCTCCCGGAACGATAGGCGCGATTGAAAAATATTCTGGACTCAAAAGCCTTAGAGGGCTTGCATTGACTCCTCCCTTTAAGGCCGAATTTCTGGGTATGCCGTTGCCCAGGAACAGGTAGCAAGGAATGCTCCTCCCTCTATCCCAGCGACACAATGAACCGTACATTAAAACCAGAAAGCACAAGATCAAGTAGCAGCACTCCCAGCTAAAGAGGAAAGTAACAAAAAAGGCAGCCAAAGAGGTGGTACAAACCCGACAAGAATCCTGTTACGCAACAGGCAATGACAAATCATACATGGTGTAGCTTAAAATAGTCATACCCAAAGTCAGCTAATGACAGCCCGCTGGAACTACCCAATTAGCTAATACCGCTCATTCACAGCGTATGTCAGGATAGTACAGTCACACAAGTCGGAGGGGCAATCAACTGGTCATTTTCGTGCTGGGTTTTGAGCTGGATGTCCAGGGAATCCACCCCGCTGAGCTTAGCTTATTGCTGCTAAAACTCCCGGAGTCAGCGCCATGAATTTGAGTACAAGTCCATGAATATGGCTATATCAGAGCGCGATTATAGACATGAAGGAAGCTATGTATAAAGTGAGTTACATACGTACGGGGCAAACAATTTGCAATGTCCTCAAAAAAGTTGGTTACGTTAATATGCATTCACGAAATGCTTGCGGACGATGTCCTCAACGCCGAATTTTGATCCGGAGACATCAGTAATTCCTGGTAAATATGAAACCATAATATCGCTCTACAGCTTAGAGCTAAGGCAAGATGTTGTAAATGACCTATAATCACGACTAGAGAAAGGGTGATCTAAATGTTTTACTCGCCTCATATCCATTTCATCTGATTCGTAGAGCTTGTCTCTTGAATCGAATGATGCAGGTAACTGGTAAATAAAAATTTTGTGCATCACAATTAACATTTCGGATATAGCGATATCCGAGAATTTTACAATTTTATGCTGTTCAAAGATCGGCTCGGAGCCTTGAGGAGTGTACATGTCTTTTATCCGACACATAGCACTTTTTGAAAAATTACTGACCAACATAGTTGAGAAGCATGATTAACACCTGAGATCAAGCGGCAGTAGTTGAAATAAGAAAGAATTAAAGTGTTTTAGAGTAGATGTGACGTTGTTTTATCTGTGAAGTAACCAATCCTTCTAATGGTTCTAATATTTCCACTTCATATGCTCCCAACAAAAGTAATGTGAAGCGTAAATTTAAAAGATTTGTCAATGAGCGCACCTGGATATTTCAATTATTTTTTCTCTTCAATAGATGAAGTGTGAAGTTGTGCATCCAGTTGGAAATGTGAGAAGAGGGTGGTATAGTGCTGCGTAAATGAATTTGATACGTCGAGTGAAAAATTGGCATAAAAACTAGAAGTCATTAAAATAGAAGCGCATTGACATTGTTTTGAGCCTCCAGGTTTAAGCGATTTCACTGTTGCATGTTATCACCCTCTTTCGATAGCCCAAACCCAGGGTGACTTAGCTGCGTTTCACTCATAAGTTAACTGCATCTGATTTGATGATGCATGTATTCATGCATTTGGAATACGAAGAAAGCAGGTTACTGTGTGTCACCTTGTAACAGAAGTGTCGGGGAGCATGAGACAGCTGTTGTACCTAGACATACATAGCTCCATGGAAACCTTGCGCAAGTATTGCCATCTCAGTGGCCATGTAATGTATTGGCCATGGCCATGTATTGTATCTCAGTGGCCATGTATTGCTCAATGTCTACACAAATATGATCATCGAAGTAATCAACTACGGTGTACGTCAGCGCAATTTGTGGCACCAACGGACATCAGTTGGTGTGTTCGGTACAAATTTTGAACACTTGCCACTTTTTGTGTAAGCCAATACGTAAGCTCGGCCAAGGTCAGTGTTAGAGTGAAAACATGGCCAGTCTCTTCGGACGTCATAAAGCCACTTTATGAAGTAACAAACGATGCATGTTCAGGAACACATTTACGAGTTAGCGAATTTGTGTTGTTTGGAGCAGCATTTTATGCTTAAAAGCAAACCCATAGTTACACTTGAGCTTATTTTATCATAGCTCAAACTTTCTTCGTTATCTTCAAATGAGGAATATTTCCTTTAAGACCTCAAGCAAATATAGGCATTCTAGTCTGGTAGGTTCTTACATCCCGTTAGTGTGATGTAGTGGCATCTGTCTAGCAACGTAGAGTATTTTCGGCATGTCGTAAGGTGAAGGAAACCACAATCGTGACATCGACGTTATGATCTGCATCCACGTCTGCGGGTTGCTGACGTCACAGTGAACCGTCCCGTTCTGAACTGATGGGCGTGGATGAAGGACACGCCCATGGCCGCAGACGAGACGAGCGGTGCACGGTCGGTCCGCCGCCGGGCACGGCTCCGCCCTGGACCGCCTATATAACACGTGCGGCATATTCAGCGAGCACAGTCAGGCCTCGTGCGGTGGGAAACATGAAGGTTCTGGTGAGTTAAGCCGCTACACACTGACGGTGTAACAGCTGATAGGACACTCGTCCCCGGTAGCCTTTTGTCTTTGTATAAGATCATGTGGCTTAGCATACTGATGTGATCTATGGTGTTGTGAAGGTAATGGTAAAAAGATGATGTGACGCATTGAAACTAAAACGTAATTATGTCTCGCCTACTAAGAAATGTGCGTTTGAATGAGATGACATTGCGTTGATACTTCCCACTTCACCCTCACTCTCTGGCATTGCTTTACTATGATCCGTTAGTTTTTTTTTAGTTCGTTTTGCTTTCCAGTATCGCTTTAACACTAGGTATATAGCAAAACAGTAGGATTCTGTGGCCTCCGTAGACACACTTAAGGCGCTGCTCGTTTCGGTGCAATGCGATCAAGTGTTACTCGAAAATCAGCAGGCGTCCACTGTTAAATCCAACTGCCCTCGTTCCCCCAGGTCGCACTGTCCGCTGTCCTGGCGCTGGGCGCTGCCCAGTACTCGCCGGTTGGGTACCCGTACTCCGGGTACAGCCCGGTGAGCTACTACGCCGCCGGCGCGTACAACCATTACGCCCCGACGGCGTACAGCGCGGCGCCAGCCGCTGCCGTCAGCTCGCAGTACCACGCTCAGGATGAGCTGGGCCAGTTCAACTATGGCTACGCCGGAGGACCGTCTGCCAAGAACGAGTTCAGGAGGTTCGATGGTGCCACCGTTGGCAGCTACAGCTACATAGACGCCAACGGCAAGGTGCAGACCGTCTCCTACACGGCCGACGATGTCAACGGCTTCCAGGTGAAGGCGACCAACCTTCCTGTGGCCCCGGAGGCGAACCTGCAGGCGCCCGTGTTCAACCTGGAGACGCCCGTGTTCGACGGCGTGGCTCCCGAGCCGGTGCAGGACACGGCCGAGGTGGCCGCCGCCAAGGCCGAGTTCCGCAAGAAGTACGCCGAGGCGGCGGCCGCTGCCGCCGCTGCGCCCGACACCGACGCCCCGGAGGCTGCCGAAGAGGAGCCGGCCGTCGCCCCTGCCGAGCGTCGCCGTCGCAGCGCCGTGCTTTTGCCCGCCCTGGCCAAGGCCACCTTCAAGACGGCAACTCTGGATAAGGTGGAGGCCGACACCCCGTCCGACACCAGCCTGCTCAAGGTGACCGAGAAGGAGCACGAGACGTACGTGCCCAGCGTGGTTCCTTACGCCGCCCCCGCCGTCCACTACGCCGCCCCGGTGATCTCCTACGCTGTCCCCGAGGTGAAGAAGGTTGAGGTCAAGGCAGCCCCCATCACCTACGCTGCTAACGCCTTCGCCTACGCTGCTCCTGCTATCACCTACACCACCCCTGTGGTCAAGAAGGTTGAGGTCAAGCACGTGGCCTCTCCTCTTCCCCTGACCTACGGCCTGCACCCGTACGGCTACGGTGCCCCTCTCATCTACGACGTGGAGGCCAAGGAGAAGAATGCCGCTGTTGAGGAGGCTGCCGAGGAGGAGCCGGCCGTCGTCGCCGCCGAGCGTCGTCGTCGCAGCGCCGTGCTTCTGCCCGCCCTGGCCAAGGCCACCTTCAAGACGACCACTCTGGATAAGGTGGAGGCCGACACCCCTGCCGACACCACCCTTCTCGAGGTCACCGAGAAGGAGCACGAGACGTACGTGCCCAGCGCGGTCGCGTACGCCGCCCCTGCCGTCTACTACACCGCCCCCGTTGTCCCCTTCGGAAGACGGTGAAGACAGTTGATGTTAAGGCAGCTTCCGCCACCTACGCTGCTGCTCACCTTGCCCTCCCCTATGGCGTCCATCCGCAGAGCTTCGGCACTCCTGTGATCTACAACGTGGGAGACAGGGCTGCTGAAGTCGAAGCGGAGGCGTAATAAGCAACTCTCGTCGTCTACAGGCTGAACGACGGACACTGTGCGTTCTTTACATGTCTTGTCCTGTCTTCCGTGCTGCAGTGTCCTTTGTTCCAGTTGTTGACATGTGTCCATGCGTGATATGCTTCGGTCATTACCCGTCGTGAATGTACCATTCGTCATGCTTCCAGTAACTGGGAATACAAATTTCACGCTCCGTGCATGACGATGTATTCTTAACTAGCAGATTAATTGGTGCGGGGAGTTGGTAGTGATAAAAAAGTCAGAGTATTCAGCACTTACCACGTAGATGATATCAGTACCTCAACGATGTTCATATCCTCGTCAAACCCTTTGTATAACGCCCACATCAGGCATGCTTGAAGTTTGTGACATGAGACCCTGCACAATTGACTTGATGGTTCCAATGGGACGCAAGTTTCAATATTTTTTTTTCAAAACAGTTAAGCATGCATATTTTGGCTCCATTAGTCCCGTGCGCTGATCGTGCGATCCGACAAGTATCTTCCGCTAGATGTCTCTGGTTAGGCGGCTTTCGCCCGTCGTTACATAGCAAAATCGACGGCCGCTTTGTTTCATCGCTTTGTCGATTTCGCTCAGAACATCGACGGCCGCGTCTGCATCTGGTATGCAGTGAAGCAGAAGTTCCAAAGCCAGGAAAACGTACGTTACCATAACGCTTCGCTGGAAGCTTGCTGTTGAAACGAGCAAATCACATATTCATGAAATCTTACCTTTTTTCGATAGGCTTCCTCTGCCAGCTTTCTCTGACCTTGCAACGTGAAACACGGAAGCCTGCCAGCTTCACTCACACCACCAGCACTGATCGCAGCTGACCGGTACGCCTAGCAGCGAAAACCCATTGACAAATACAAAGGACCGCGAGAGCGGCGGCATCTCCATTAAGGCAATTTAGGCACCGAGTAGCGCAAGCTAGGAGCCTACCTTAGCATGTTTTCGAAAGCACCTCATGATATTGGATTTTGATATACCTATAATTGTTTTCTTTTGAGCTTCTTCCTGACAGCATTTGTATCTAATAATATAATTTTAGGAATTATTTACTTTGATTTGCCCCATTAGAACCTTGGCCGTGTCACTAGCTAAAAACCTGGGCAATACAGCATTCCTGACCCAGCTTAAGCCAAGGGTTTCGACTATGATTTGGGCGTTATCTCGGCCAGATATCGACATTTTAAGCCTAGTTAGTTAGCATCACCACCCGCACTTGACAACTGACACATGATAGTCGCTTGTGGCGCCGAAAAGAACGAACATCGCACGTCATTCGTAGGTCTGAACGCGGGCTGGGAGCTTGATTAACGCTATTAGCACATGAGAGAGAAAGTTTTTCAGGCCCTGGCTTTTCGCCATTACAAGGCCGGGGTTCACGTTCTGCGTTACTGGACTTATGTGCCGGAAGGTACTGGCTAAGCTGCGTTGCAACGTAATTATTGGTTTTCATGACAGCACTCGACGTTTGAAGCTGGGCTTATGATTGCAAGAAAGCAAACCTGGTGCTGATCTCTATACATATCACAAGTGACAAAGGTTGAGCACGGTTAAGCGAAAAGCTAATTTTGAAAACTGAGTCACGTGATCCAGAAGTATATATATATATATATATATATATATATATATATATATATATATATATAGGTCTTGATCACGTGACTACAATATGTAACTTGTGACTACAATATGTTATATAATGTAGACATGTGGTAGCTCAGATGATTTTTAATTTCGTACATTTCAGTGGCAGTGTTCTGGACCACGTGACTCAGTTTTCATAACTAGCTTTTCGCTTAACCGTGCTCAACCTTTGTCACTTGTGATATGTATTGAGATCAGCACCAGGTTTGCTTTGTTGCAATCATAAGCTCAGCTTCAAACGTCGAATGCTATAATATATATATATATATATATATATATATATATATATATATATATATATATATATTGTTATCAATAGTGCATATTTGCGAATTACACATATTTTAATGTCATACTTGTAGTCACGCGGTCCAGGACACTGTCACTAAAATATGACGAAATAATACATCACTCGGGCCACCACATGGCCTCAATATATCAAACATTGTGGTAAATGATATGTGTAAATATTATATCTTATATATATATATATATATATATATATATATATATATATATATATATACATCACAACGAATATTGTTTGCCTGCAAGGGCCCTGACAACAGCCGTTCAGCGCCAGCGCCTGGATAAGGCTATTAACTTCGGGCTCAGAATTGTTGCCGACAAACGCAGACGAGATCAGATCACGGAATCCCGAAAACGGCTAAATTGGCCCAATTTCGACGAGACTGCTACCCACCGCGGCTCCATGTGTTTTCATCATGGCATTTACGTGCCTGATGGGCCGCGGACTATCAGTAACCAGATCAGGCGTCGATCTGAAGTATCTCAGCGGCACACCAGAGCCACCAATGACGAAACTGTACTGTAGACAAGCGCTTGAAACACCCTCGCTTAGAGCGCGTGAAAGGGCCATTTCCCTATCGAGCCGTGGCGCCGTGGAATCGCCTCCCTGCTGCCACGCGCAAGTACAAAAACTTAAATCAGCTCAAAGGCAGAGCAATGTCTTTCATCAGAGAACGTACATAAATTGACCAACTGGCCATGACGTGCAGGTGCTGGTTGTATCACTAGCCGCTCATGCTTTATAACATCGTCATCATCAGGCGCCACGAATATTGACTGGGCCTCACCAACAAGCCAGGAATTCCGGTCTTTACGTCCTGGCACCCAATATCAAACAGTGCTGCTAAGGGCTGCCCGAAACACGGACGACTGAGCCGAAAGGTTTCATTGACCCACACCGAGTATCACACCCGACAGAAATTTGCAGGCGGGCGTTGGGGTTCATCAAACAAATGCAAAACTTCTTCTAAACGTGCGTGACCTGAAAAAATATTACTTAACCTAACCTGCGCCCGAGACTGAGCGCATAAACCTCGAATATCGATGGCAGATCTGTGACATAAACACTCACATCACTGTCGACCATAAACAACGTGAGAACGAAGTTAAAAAATATGCGAACTGCTTTTTTTGTTGTTTAAAAGCTGAAAATCGTATGCTAATGCTGTGTGATCATTAAACTAAATGTTTGCATTTGCATGTTGTCTTTGCACAGCGCTCAACTTAAGTCAGGAACTGAATACACCAGAACATTGCCATAGTCCTGTTTTTCACCTTTCTCCAAAAGGCGTTGGGGTTCATCAAACAAATGCAAAACTACTTTTAAATGTGCATGGCCTGAAAAACATTACTTAACCCAACCTGCGCTGGAGACTGAGCGCATAAACCTCGCCATGGGGCCTGGTTTGAAGAAACTGGCTTTGTTATGCACGCTCAGGAATAAGTCGATATTTGTTTTTATGGCACTGATTCTGTTTGTAAATGTCTCTCTATCCACATGCACTGTACGGGTTAACTAAGCTTTTCGGCTTAGCCTTCCGTGTGTCAGGCAGCGCTTGGCAATGCCCGGTATTCATGGGTGCCAGGATGTGGGAACCTAAGTTCCTGTGACTTTCGGCGGGTTTCGAGAACGTGCGTGGCGCCTGGTCATCGTGGTGAGAAATGTTCTCAACTAGCACTCGGTATGTGTCACCGCAACCTTTCGACGCAGCCGCCTGCGTTTCGTGCAGCCATTGGCGTAGAACCGTGTACCTGGTTCGAATATCTTTTACCTCGGATGATTTCTTAACATCTTGAGTGGCATTGCCTGCCCAGATCCAAGGCATTTGTAGGCATAAATTGCTTGTATCTTCGTCGATTCGGTGAGCAGTATATGCGTCAATAAACCTTCAACACCTCTCACCATGCAATGGCAGAGTCATCTAGTGATGAGTCACTAAACTACTGCTTGGACAGCGCTACCTTTTCCTGCAGCCTGCAGGCACTGACATTTTATTTGCCAGCTGTAGCAGTGAGGCTGCCACACATCCGTCATTAATCACTTTTGTCATTTTATTTGGTGCCGCTGTCTGATCGTAAACCGCTTACGGAAAACGAAGAATGAACTGTGTGAGCCGGCCGGAGCGAGATCAGGGGACCATAGCATGGAGGGAACCAAAACCAAACATCTACAGGAAGGTAGCCAGCCAGATGTCGATGAAACATGATGTGTGCTAATGAGAACATCCATACCCATGATAAGACAATAGTATTAGCCTCATTTCTCGGATAAAAACCAGGAGAATGGAGATACACCTGGGTTGATATTTCGGCAACAGGCCTTCATAGAAACAATAGCAGCAGCAATAACTTCAATATCATCAATCGAAACAATGGCATTCTCTGCTTTTGCTTCGATAAAGACATGTTGTCGAAAAATCAACCAAACTACATCGCCATTCTCCTGGCTTTTATCCGAGGAATGGGGCTAATACTACTGTCGTATCTATGTAAATAACGCTTCGCGCTAACGAACTGAGCAACTTACGCAATTTCATACCCAAGACCTGAAATACGGAATCGAAGTATGACACTCAGAGTGGTGAGCAAGCTGCTTCAGAAAATGCCAAGCTGTGGTGACTAAAATGAGCACACTTACAAAACTCCTCGACATCATGACATTCGAGTTTCTATTCTGGACCGTGTGTGGGTGTTCCGTTGCTCCAAGGGGCTCGGAAGGGAGTCCATGATTGTGAGACAAGTGCCATAAGGCAGACACGGCTGACACGCCGAAAAGCCCGACACCTCCAGGAGCACAGTGAGACTCTCAGCCGGGGCCGTAGGGGGCTTCCCTAACAAAGTTCTCCAGCACCCAGGCACTAGAGAGACAAGAATACAGAAATGGGGCGATAT